TTTGAAATCATCCTTCAGCTTCAATTTTCATTCAGGTTCAAGCAGGCCCACCAAGAGTGTTGTGTGTGCGACTACGAGTAGGATCTGGCCTGCATAGTTAGACACTGCATAAATGAAAACAAAACAGCAACAACAAAAGTCCTCTGGAGTCTTTCAGTGGTCAGTTGGGTTGGAAACACAGGGCGCAGGGTGTGTGTGACATCCATCTGATAGACTTAGAATGCAGGGAATTCATGGAAAAAATCCAGCACAGCGCTTCAAATCCTTAGGGGGAAAAGTCAACCAGCTCCAGATGTTGACGTGGTTGACTGCGAGCACTCTAAGTGCTGTGGGTTTAACTCTTACAGTCGATGCTTTTTTTCCCTGCTGCCAGCTACCAGCATCGGGGTATTCTTACTTCTGGAGACAGGAGATGATGGGATTGGCTAAGTCCACTGCTGTGGTGGCTCTCTTCCTGTTGAAGGAGAAGTGTTGTTTGTTAATTTAATTTTTAATAGAGTGAAGTAAGAATTGGTTTGATAATATTACTTTTTCAGCATCTTATCAATATAGTAATGATAAAATGCAAATATATTCTTACCGTGGACTAAGCTACCTAAAGTTCAAAAAAAAAAAATAATCAAGCTCTTCTCATTAGCCAAGAAATATCCTGTTTTTTCAGGAGGAAGGAGACCACCTGCAGTGGTTAAAACACAATCAGCACTTTGATTCCATCTTAAAATGTTTGAGAGTTTCACTGTTGCGTAAGCAGTTAAAATGGAATTTCAGCTTTAGTCCTTAGCCACAGTGAGTTTAAACAGTGAAGTGGATCAATGTTGTGCTGTGACCTATGACTTTTATCCGTGCCTCTGGCTGTAGCTCTTTTCCCTGGCTTTTCTGAATGAGCCCATAGCTGGTGGAGTGCAGCCTTACCCCCAGGACAGGCCAAGAGAAACACCATTCACTCTTGTGCTCCCAAAGGATGCTTTCAAATCCTATGAATTGACTCACAAAGCACTGGCTGCCTTGCCAAAGTACCTGTGGTGGTGACTGCTGCAGTGCTTTTAACAGCACCTTGTGCAGATAACCTGCAAAGCCTTTGCAGTGGAGCTGCTTGTTTGCTTTGCATTCAGAAGTGCGCTAGCAACATCTGGGCACTGAGAATGTCATTAATAAAAAATGTCACTAAGGAATCCAGCTGCTAAACAGCAAGATCAGCATGCATAGTTGGCTTCTCAGCCATTTGAGTGTTATCTTGTAGAGTCATGGCATGGTTTGTGAGTGGTGCTTGTCTTGTCCTGAAGCCAGGACAGTCTCTGGCATGGGGTGGTTGTCCTGCTGCATCGCCCTGACCAGCGCTGGGGAAAAGCACCTGGAGCATCTTGGTGCGGTGATTTATGTAGGAAGGAGCAGAGGAAAGCAGCAAAGCAGAGCTGGGAACAAGGGCAAATAGTCAGCCTGAGGCTGGCAGCTGAGCTCTGTGGTGCTGAGGGGAGAAATGCCTACCTCGTGTGAAGGAGTGATGCTTGAGTAAAATAGGGAGCAGAGCTGCAGCTTTTCTGACTGGCATTAAAAATGTGTTCTGTCACTCTTGTAAAGTTGTTTTTATCTTTTGCAGTTTCCTTAATAAAGTATTGCAAGGCAGCGTGTTTTCTGGCCTTGCAAGGGAGGTCTCAGTGCTGTCAACCTGCTTTAACAGTTCCTAAAAGCTTATGCCCACGCCTCTGAAATTCTGTGTTATCTTTGTTTTCTGGTTCCATTTGCAGTCTTACTATGTACCAATTGGATCTGTAGATTTTTGTAATAGTTTTTCAGCTTGTTTCACCTGCACTTTTTTTTTTTTACAGTTAGGAAGTCTATGTATTGGTGTGTTATGAATGCATCAGTTTACAAATAGAATGAGCAAAAATTCCCTGAATGCTTATTGTGAGTATGAAGAGATGCCTTTAGCAACTAGTCTTAGGCCTTAGCTCTTACTTCAGAAATAAATACCTCATTCATTTGTATTCTCCATCATTCTTCAATTATAGTAATCCTGTTTACCCAAAACTCTAAATTCCTGGAAACAAGTGTAAGAAAAGTGGGGAAAAAGAAACATAGAGTCAACTGCAACTATAAACTGTAAAAACAAACAAACAAACAAACAAAAACCCTTAAGTTTATAGTTGCAGTTGACTTTTTTTTTTTTTTTTTTTTTCTCTCCAAAATGATAAGCATGCTTTCCCAAGGGCTGCATGCAGGAGGATAGTAGGGCCCTCAAAAAGCTGTATCCACCTGCTCAGCACTTGCCCACAGGGATCCACAGTGCCTTTTCTCCTCTCTTCTACTCACACTGTCTTTCTGCTTCTGCTCTTTCCCTCACAAAGCCAACATCCCCAGCTGGCTCAGAGCTCTGGTTTTTGCTCTACCTTTATCTGAGTCATGTCAGATGGAGACAGAGCATCCATATGTGAGAGAAAGCATGCTGGCATCAGTGCAGGTCTGAGGAGAAACAGGTGGGAGGCTTTGTCAATCTTGTTTACATGAGAGGAACTAGGATGCTTGGCTCGGGAACAAATCTGTATTTGACATTAAATGATAGGTGTTTAATTTCATAGCTGAGAAAAACAAACAAAAACTTATAGCACAGACAAAGGGAAGAAATACCACCTTCTCTACCTGGGAAAGAAGAGGAGAAATTAATACCACTAAAAATGCTGCTGTGTTGAAAACAGTAGTACTTATAAGTATCTATGACAACAAAGTTTGGATGTATAAACAAATATACAGATATAGAGATAACTGTGTATCTATTTGTATACATGTTAGAGAGTATATTAAAGATCCAATCTCCTTGTTACTAAATAACTAAAAAATGTGTTATGTACTGTAGTGTTTGAAGAAATACCAATGAGTCTATGAATTCCCACTGAACCATGATAAGCTTCCTGTTCAAGTTACGTAGTTTGATGGCAAGGAGAATGCATTTTTTTCTAGACCTAAGAATAAATGAACACGGATACAAGAGCAGTTCCTTGGCTTTACCCTTATGTACCATCAGTGTACAACTACGTATGTTTGATTCATAACCTGACTCAGATGTGGATGACTCAATTCGGACATTTCTATCCATGTTTGAAAAGTTCAGGGATCTGGGCTGTTATCAAAGGTCACACTTCTAAGTGAATCAGAATTAATGATTAAAGCAAGTAATTTTAAGTTGTTAGATGATGAGAAAAATAAACTGCTTTGCTTATGTTGGTTGGGAAGCAACAACCAGTAGGCTACTGATAGTGAATGTAAACATGATTTGTCACCTAGGCAGCTGTTACAAGCCTATAGACTTCATTTTTCTTTAGTTGTTTCAGCCCTGCCTATAATACCTTGTCCTTGCTCTTATAAAGATGCAGCCCTTCCTAAGAGGGTTGTATGCAAGCAGTGCTGAGGAAGCATTTAAGTTGGAAGTGACCTCTGGAGCTCAGTGGTCCAGCCCTTGGGCAAAGGAAGGCTCACTGCAGTTGGATCCAATTTACAGATGGATCAAATAAATAATAAATCGATTTTGGGAATGCAGTGATGTATGTGCATTTGAAATCTGTCTCCTGCATGTCCTTGTGCACTGAAGTACCACATGTAAAGCTCAATGAAGGGGACAGTTCCTTCTCCTAAGATGTTGCCTATTAACATTGGATTTTTTTATTTTTTTTTTTACTTTTTTGGTCACCTTAGCATTCCAGCAAGAAGAGCACACTGCCTCATGCATGCTCTTTCACTTGCACCTGTTACACAAAGTTAAATGTCAAGAACAATATTCAATTGAACTCCTGACAGGATCAAAGATGAAGAATCTTTTGGTACCTTGTATTTGCTGTGGACTTCACTTTTGTGTATTGTTCATCACACAATTGTTATTAAAATTCTGACTCTAACAGCAACAGTCTAGTGTTCATTTTGTGTGTGTGTTTGTGTTTAAATGGCATAAGTATCCTTGTTCCTCTCCAAAATTCCTTGGGGAAAAAGGTGTTGGACTTGCATTTAGAGTTATTATAAGTGTGTTAATAATATGTAAAACAGTTTTACTTATCTGGGGGCATGGGGAACTTGCAGTTGTGTGCTCTAAGCTGGATGTGTGCTGGCTTCCTAACCCCCACATCTCTGGGGGTACTGTATACCAGTCTGTAAGTTCCTTCAGCTCATAGCTAGAAGGAGTGATAACACAGAAATTGTCCCAGCAAGACTGAGAGGGTGTCTGCCAATATCTTGAAGGAAAAACTCAAACAGTGCTCAAGAAAGAGACAATGCAAACACAGATGTGTGAGGACCAGAGAGTAGGATTTTACCTGCTTGCTTAGTAACAACCTCATTAAATTCGAGCGATGTTGAATTGCTGTAGATGATGCTCGTGTCTGGCAATGGTGATGTGATCTATGGGACTGTTCCAGGATTTATGATCTTTAAAACAAATATGTTGTAATGCAAGTGTCCTGGGGTTTACAAGTTTTCAAGAAAATTAGGAAATTTATCATGGGCATTTTCACATTTCACCATTCCTTTGGGACAGAACTGTAAAATGAGCTTTCCTTTACTTGTTGTCAATTTAGGTCAGTATTTCACCCCTCCCACTCCCCAAGGTTTCCTTCTACAGGGAGAGGATTCTGAGCTTAACTTCAGAAATAATTACATATGCAATTCTTTACATTCTTTGAGTAATAATTGGGTAGAAATTGAATGTTTGTCTCAGAAATTTGCCCTGCAGTTCAACAAAAGAGAAATGCTGCAAAAGAGAAGAAAATAATGAGCTTAAAGGTGCAACTGCATATAAACTTTGAAAGAACATATACAGTGAAATGAGAAAGGAGAGGGATTAAAGTAATCTTTGATCAGAAAAAAAACTAGTTCTAAAATTTTTAACAGGATGTAGGGGCAAACAGATAATAGAAAGTTTATGTTTAGGAAAGCTATGTGTATGTATATATATATAAAGGTATAATACAATAATAAATCAAGAAAGAAAATATTCTTTTTTTTTTTTAAAAAAACAGTTGAACAAACAGAACCTTCCAGTGTAACTCTGAAGGAAGACGACACCCAAACTATGGAGACAAGTCCATCTGACTCAAGCACTAAGGATGGTGTAGCTGCTGAGAAGGAGGATGCTCATACAGATAAGCGGTTGCCGTCTGTGGAAGAAGATGCAGAAGATGCTGAACATGTATCTGAGCCACAGTCTTATGACCTGGGCTTTAAAAAGGTTTTTAAATTTGTTGGATTCAGATTCACAGTAAAGAAGGAGAAGACAGGAAAGTCAGAACCAGTTCAGCTGCTTACTGTGAAAAAAGAAACACAAGTCACTGAAGGAGCTGATGATCAAAAAGAAGTCAGCTCAGAAGAAACAGTGATGCCTGAAGATGTACCCTCTGCAGAAGACGACACCAAAGATGCACTGAAAAATGAAAAAACAGAAGATGAATCTCCTAAAACACCGGAAGCAAATGAGATGTGTTCTCAGTCATCTGCTTCAGCCACTGATACTGCCTCACCATTAAGAAAATTTTTTTCTCAGGGATGGACTGGATTTCGAAAAAAGAAGAGTTTTAGGAAGCCCAAGGAAGATGAACAACAGTCTCCTACAAAAGAAGAGCAAGAAAAGGAGGGAGCAACATCAACGACTGAAACCAGTGAAAAGGAGAAATCAGAGTCTGAGAAGCATGTTGGAGAGAAGAATGTGACAACAGTAACTACTGAAACACAGGAGCGAGAGCAAACTGAAGATGAAAAGCGGGAGTCAAAGACTGCAACAACCATAGGATTTGATGTGAGTGAGAAGGAGGAGGTAACCGAGCATGATGAGCAAGGTATAGCAGCAGCAGTTGCTACAGTAGGTGCCAAGGAGGGAAAAGCTGAAGATCAAGAAAGTAAATTGGTGGAAGTCTCAGAAGATCTTGGTAAAAAGGAAGAAAAAAATGAAGAAGGAGAGAAAGACAGTGAGGTGACAGAGAAACCACTAACAACAAAGTCAGTGATGCCTGTAATCACTGCAGATGTGAATGGGGAATTGAAAGTCCTACCTGTAGGAAAAGATCTGGAGTCAACGGAGAAATGTGAAATAAATGACAGAACTGAAATATCCTCTGAAGAGAAACTTGGAACAGCATCTTTATTAGCAATGGAAAGTTGTAGTGAAGATTTTAAAAAACCTGAAGGAATAGACGGAAGTAAACCTTTTCTACTAGAGAAAGAAAAGTTTGATGAAAAAACAGAGACAGCAGAATTGGAAATTTCACCCACAACAGAAGTTGTCACTGAAAAGTTAGAGACACAAAGAGAAGCTCAGGATGGAACCACAGAGAAGAAGGCGAGCAAAGAAGATGAGGCAAAACTGGCTCTGGATGCTGCTGAACCGAAGTCCTTTTCTACTTCTGAACAGTCATTTGATACAGAGGATGATCAACAGTCAGTCAAACCCACTGATGAAGCACTGCAAGGCAAAATTGGTGCTGATGGTATCAAACCAGGCGAAATAGTCACAGAAATAACTCCTGAGGAAGCAAGTGGAAAGAGGCCTCCAGAAGGTATCACAAATGAAGCTGAACTGCTCTCTTCTCAAGAAAAAGCTAAATTACAAGGCAGTCCTTTAAAGAAACTATTTACAGGTACTGGATTAAAAAAACTGTCTGGAAAGAAGCATAAAGGCAAAAGAGAAGAATCTAAGTTAGGAGAGCAAGGAGAATTAACTCAACACTTGTCAGATTCCCCAGATAGCCCGGAAGAACAAAAGGCAGAGAGTTCTGCTTCTTCTCCTGAGGAGCTGAATGAAATTCCTTCTTTGGAAAAATCTGTAGATGGAACACAAGTCTCAGAAAATGAAGATGCTGCGATTTCAGATGTGGAGAGAAAAAGAGAAAGTGTTACACCCTGGGCATCATTTAAAAAGATGGTGACTCCCAAAAAACGTGTAAGAAGACCTTCTGAAAGTGACAAAGAAGAAGAAGTTGATAAGACAAAGAGCATTGCAACATCAGTAACTGAAAATGCAGCTGAAGAAAGTCAGGTAGAGCTGAAAGAAAATGGAATGGACCAGAAACCAGAGAAAGTCACAGAAGAGCCAAAAAGAAAGGTTGACACCTCTGTGTCTTGGGAAGCTTTTATATGCGTAGGTTCTTCAAAGAAAAGGGCCAGGAAATCATCATCATCTGATGAAGAATCTGAACATAAGCTTGGTCAGGAAAGCCAAAAAATAGAAGAATCTGGACAGAGCAAAGAAACTGCAACGGATGCGATTCTTACTAGCTCTCAGGAGAGCGATCAAGGACAAGGGAATTCCTCTCCAGAACAAGCTGGAAGTCCATCTGAAGGTGAAGGGATTTCAACATGGGAATCATTTAAAAGGTTAGTCACTCCAAGAAGAAAATCTAAAACGAGAATGGAAGAGAGAACCGAAGACTCTGTCACAGGATCTAGCCTGGAGCATTCAACATCAGATGGTGAGCCTGGAAAAGATGAATCATGGGTTCCGTTTAGAAAACTTATGCCTGGCCGTAGAAAGAAGAAGTCGGATTGGAAGTCAGAACCAACTCATCTTAAGCAAGCAAGAGAAGACATGGCAGAAACAGCTGAAGAAGATTCGGATGTTCCAGCTGTTGTTCCTTTGTCTGAATATGAGGCAGCAGAGCAAGAGAAAATTGAAGCTCAGCAAGTAAAAGATGCTGAAGCATTGAAAGAACGAAGCTCGGAGGAAGAAAGAGTTGAAAAATCAGAAGACTTGCTAAGTGTTAAGCAAGCCAGTGAAGGGCTAGTACATGCAGTTACTGTTAGTGTTGTGGAAGGGGAAAGAGCAGTTACCAGCATTGAAGAAAGGTCACCATCATGGATATCTGCTGCTCTGACAGAGTGCATTGAGCAGGAAGAAGAGGAGGAGAAAGAAACTGAGAAAGTGCTTGAATCAGAAGTTGTTGTAGAAGAAGCGATGGTGGTTGATAAGACAGTGCCAGAGATGAGAAAGGATGTAAGTGATGATGCCACAGCAAGTGAGCTAGAATTAACCTCAGAGGCAGTGACTGCTCTAGAGGAGACAGCAGAAGCTTCCTGTGCTGAAGAAACAATGGAAGTGTCCTTTGCTGAAGAGACAACTGAAATGGTTTCTGCTGTTTCACAGTTGATAGAAACTCCAGATACCACAGAGGAAGTTACGCCTGTACAAGAAGTAGAAGCCACTGAACAAAATTTGAAAGAATTAGACAAACAGACACAAAAAGTTCTTCACGAAGTTGCTGAAAGAGTTAAGTCTTCAGATGTAGCACAGCTGGATTCTGAAAGAACTGTAACAGCAACTGTAATTTCAGCTGTACAAGAAATTGAGTCAGAAATGAAAGATGATGCTAAAGATGAGAAAATTATAGGGCAGGGAACGGTTTTGCTTGAACAGCCCTTGAAAAAAGGAGAACAACTGGAGGATGATGTTCAGCCTCTGGAAGGTGCAGGGAGTGTTCAGGGTGAAAATGGCATTGAAGAGAGGGTACATGAACGTTCAGAGAGAAGTGAAATATCTGCTGCAGTGAAAGAAAGCACAGAAGGATATGAGAATGTGGATGTATTGGGAGATGAAGGCCAGCAGCAGACCTGTGAAGAAGCAGTTGTAGAAGACCATGAAGAAATAGCTGAAGTGCAGAGGACAATAGAGGAACCCTCATCACAAGACAGTGAAGCAGTAACTCCCAAGGAGGAGCAATTAGTAAAACAGAAGCCTTCAGAACAAGAGAAACTGCCCCAAACAGACTTGACAGTAGATGGGAGGAGAGAGGACCATATTCCAGAAGTGCAGGCTGAAGTAAGTACTACATAAAACACAAATGTTGATCTGTCAGGGGAAAAAAAAATATATATTACATCTGATTTAGAACAAGGTTTTGGCAATATCCCTATCAAAGACCTTTGTTGTGTAGCAACTTAAGTTTGTTTTCAGTGAGACAGATGCACAGAGATCCAGAAGCAGCAGCTGCAGATGCCTGTGCTGCAGAGTGTGGTGGATGTAATTCCTACAGAAAGGGGGTGGGTGATATTGTGCATGGATCAGATGGTGCTGAAAAGAATTCTTTAGTATGCAGCACACTGTGACTGAAGATATATGAAAACATATAATACAGACGGGATCCGTATGATACCTTTACATAGCAGCTGGTATCTTCAGTCATAGACATAGACAGTTGCAGCTGAGGCACTTGTGCAAAGGGAGGAATAGAAATCACATCACTATCTCCATGTCATGCAGGAGTTACTGTGACTGATTTGTTTCTACCTTCTTCCATCATATTTTTGGCTTAGTCTATGTTTCAGGTGTGTCAACTGTCCATTCTTTCCTGAGCTGTGTCCTGACACACTGGACATGCTGGGATCTTAATGGCCCACTAAACTCAATGTCATCAACTCACGTCCTTCCCATAACCCTACTCCTTTCATGGTCTTATATTCTGTTGCTCTTCCGTCCAGACTGTTCTCAGTCTCCCCCAGCTCACACCCCTATTTACAGGTCTGTTACTGTTCTCCACAGGTACAGAAGATCGAAGATGAAACCTCTGAGTTAGGATTTACAGGTGAAGAGCCTGCAGAACTTAAGGGAGAGGGGGAAACACTCCCCGTGGGACCAGTGTGCACAAAAGCAGATGTCACAGAGGTTCTTGTCAGTCCTGAGAGTCAAGATGAAATTCCTGAGTTAGACTCTCAAGAGCAAACTTGTACCAAAGCAGTTCCTAGAGAGACACCTGCACAGGGAGAAGAAGATGGTGCTGTGCTCCACAGAGTAAAGAGCACAGAAGTCATTGCTGCTGAGGTCCCGATGCACAGTGAGGTAGAAGCCTCAGCACTTACTTCAGAGACAACTGTCTCAGAAGCAGCTGAAGCTGCTGAGCAGAGTGTGAAGGATGAGGATGACAGGCAGATTGCAGCAAAAGATCCTGTCCCTGTCCTAGAGCCAGAATGCATAGAAAAAACAACTGAAATCCTCTCCCAGAATGATGAAATCAAAGGTGGTAAAACAGAAGAGTCCATGCTCAAAACTGAAACACATTCGCTGTCTGACAGTGCTCTCACTGAGCACCCTCCCAAGACTGAAGAAGACGAATCTACTGTAACGTCAGCGTGCTTAGATGTCACTGAAAATGGAAGCACCGTCTACACTGACATAAGTCCTAAGACAAGTGAAACACAGAGCAGCTTAGCTGAAGAAAGGACTGCAGAAACAAAACAAGAACTTGCAGAAATCTCAAGCAGTCAAGACTTTAAGAAAGAAGAAAACGTAAATAGGCAGATGGAAACAGACGAAGAATTTGAATCTGGAAAACAGGAAGCTGTGAAAGATGATGAATGTTGTTCAACAGCTGTCCAGCAAGAAGTTTTCTCTGTGCAGGAGGAAGGCCATGACTCTGCCTCCCCACCAGCTGAAAGCTCAGAGACTCTGGAAGTGCCTGTAGCAGCTGCAGCAGCTGAAGAACATGTTGTAGCAGAAGCTGCTACGCCCACAGGCATGACAGCCAAAACTATAGACCTCTTGGCAACTACACCAGAACAAATGGCTTCTAATGAAATCTCAGCTTTTACTCTTGACTATTCAGGCTGTGAGACTGCAGAGCCTGGTATTGTGGAAGCAGCCCAGCCTCAGGTAACTCATGCTTATGTTAATGGAATATCAGAGAAGCAAGAGAGTTTCCAGAGTATGAATCAGCCTGAAGAAGACGCTGCTCCTTTAAGTGACGGTCTCACTCTCCCCCACTCAGAATCTGAGACGGATGTTGTTCCATCGGGGACTATAGAGTCCCAGAGTACAAAAATTGTATTGAATGTCATCCAGACTGCTGTTAACAAACTTACAGAAACGGAAGAGGCAGCTGCCTTAGAGTCAGAACAGCACACTAAGTCCAGAGGGAAAAGCCCATCATTCACGACTTTACCTGAACTTTTGGAAAGTACGCAGGTAGATTACCAACTCCCAGTAAAAGAAGCGGCTGCAGAAAAAACAAAAGACATGCTGTTAACTTCTGATGTGCTGGAAGACAGACCAAGTCAGAATTCTGACTTTGTAACTACTCCTGAAGACATTTCAAGGGAAAGTGTGAGAGTTCAAAGCTCAACATTAGAACTAAGTACTTCAGAAGATTCAACCAAAGACCTCCTAGACATACACCAAGCAAAATTGAAGGAAAAGGAGATTGGGAAGGTTGTGGAGATCTCAGACCAATATATAGGTAGGCAAACATGTGGAGAAAGGGAGGAAGATGGTCACCCACAAGTGGAAGATGGGAAAACGCAAACGTGGCAGGACGATGGTTGCCAAGAAGACATAGATTGTGATGGTCCCCAAAGTCAGAACTCGTTGGCTCCTGAGGCTCTGAATGTAAGTAGTATTCTTAACCAGCATTTTCTTACCCTTTGCAAAGCAGATTTGGGGATTTCTGCAACTGCTCTCTTTTTTATTTATTTATTTACTTTTCCCCTCCCTTATTCCAGCAAAAGATAACTGCTTCCTACTTTAACTGGCCAGAGATTCCTCTCCACACTTTTTTCTGTCTCTCGGGCTACTTAGTGCCTTCCATTTTTCTGTACAGATACTCTCACATAAAAGGTCTTTGTCTTGACCTGTAGTTTAGGGTAATGTTTCTAGGGGGTAAAAAATGTGATTTCCAATTTTCCTAGTTTAAACACTTACAATATGAGTATGTATAGGATTTAATCCACGAGCATGATTTCATGCTAACAGTTTTTAAAAGAAAATTTTAAAGGAGGTTTATGTTGCCTTCCATGGTAAAATTGAAGTGCTTAATTCCCAAAGCTCTTTGCTCTTCAGTGAAATCTGAATCAGGAAAGGTGACAGTTATAATCTCTCTTGCAGGTATTTAGTATGCTTGCTTAACTAAGCCAGGTGACTGTCTTCAAATCCATTTCTAAAACTACTTGAGAAGGATACTAAGATGCTCTTGAGATAAATTGTCATTAATAAAGCTTTTTTTTTTAATGCCTTTTCTCTTTCAGATGTGCTAAGGATCCATGTGGTGTTTTGAGAGATACCAGTGCTAGAGAACAACTGACAATCCTGTGAGAGAACCAGGAGCTTAATTCACTACCCTTTATTCTTGGATGTTAACACCTGCTCTTTTGAAGACTTCACCTTTTTTGTCATTAAAAACCAATGCCTTTAATATTGGGTATATCCACACACGTCCCATTCGAAGGTCATTTGCCTCTGCTGAAAATGTCCCATTTAGACTGGAGATGCACATCAGAGTGAATGGACAGACCACTAAATTTTGTGCCAGAGCTGTTACCATTCCCTCACTTAACGTGTCCGTCCTGTCTGTCCCATCTTCTTGAATTCTTCATTCATCCCTAAATCCCCTAACTCCTTTCTGCAGTCTCCCTTACTTCCACCATCTTCCGTAGCTGCCTTGATTTGACCAGAGAGTGGCCACAGCTGCTGCTCTACTTCTGTGCTGAAGGGAAGAGCAGAGCTGACTGAAGAGAACACATGAGACTTATGGCTGACAGAAGGTGCGTCTGTCAAACAGCAGGAACTGGATCATGCACAGATTCTTGAGCAAGGTGCTCAAGATTGCTGCCTTTCAGTCCCATTCAGGTATCTATCTGTTCGGTTGTGTTTGTGCAGGCCTGATTTAGTCAAAATTTATTTCTACAGTGTAGCTTGAAAGGAGGTTGACAGTACTCTTTTTCTGTTGTTCAAGACTACAGGTTTCAGGACTGGACTGTAATGTGTTGAATATTTATATGTATGTCCTAATCTCAGTTCTGATTTTAATGTAGAGCTCTGATACTTCTGTACTGTTTAGGCGTACCCTTAAAGGAATTTTGTAGAGTAGCCTGGAGAGGAAATTGATATTGGTGGAGTGAAATTCAATAACATATAGTTTCCTATTTATTGTTCCAGGTTTTCCCCTTGTAAAATCTCTCTGAAACTTGGCCGTCATGCTTTGAATATTTATATGTAAATCCTAAGCCCAGTTCTGATTTTAATGTAGAATTATGACATTTCTAAAGACAAAAGGAGAACCCTGACCTGTTTTGGATCTAGCTATGCTGACCAATGTCCCTTCAACTTGCAGTCCTCTCAGGTTTCTGAGAACCATTCAGGCTTACCCCTTTGATGCTGTCTTGCTCATACAGCAGCCCCAGGTGTACCACAACCCAAAATCACACCTTGCTCTTTCCAGTCTGCTCAGTTCTGTTCACAGCCCCATCCATCCCCAAGACATTACCTCCACCCATGTCATTTAATATCCATTCTGCATACAAGTATCCTACTTTCCCAACCCAGACTTGAACCTCTTTCCCATCACAGCATTTCCCATTTCTTGAGATCCTTGCTGCTCTTACCAATTCCCTGAAGGGGGAGTAGAAAGGAGGGTAAGAGGTTGGTAATGAATTCTGCCTTGGATTGCAAAAGACTGAAGAAATGTTTGGAGTGCTGAGTTCCTAACATCCTTCACCTAAGGTCGGTTGGACTGAGAGCAGCTGCAGACTGGGGTGAGCAGGGTGATCTAAAGACAGAAAGAAGCCTCACTGAGATGCCTGTCCCCAACAGGAGTAGGTCCTTCCTTTTGTTGTTTACATTAGAATCAAACATGGGTACAAGTCAACCCTTTCAGCTCTGATTTCTAAAGTGAAGGTTACAGATGGCACTTTGTGAAACCGATGCCACCAAGTGAACAATAGCTCACTATCCTACCTGTATAGTAATTTATTTTAAAATCAACTCTTAGTGTACAAATGCTCTTGTTACAGCAGGTGCACGCCTCTCCTCGGGGCTGCACATACAGCAAGCAATGTGACTGATTGCACTGGTGTGATTGCACCATCTGGTGCTGCCCTGTGTGGAAGCATCAAGAGATTTTTCTTTACCTCAGAGCAAACTATATAAATATTTAAAGCCGAACAATGTGGTTTCAAACAATCCAGTCCGTTTTTGTCCATTGTTAGTGGCAGCTTTTCCCCCTAGCTTTGGGCAATTCCAACAATCTCTGTTGGTTTCCACAGGTTTAAATTGCCTTGCAAGTTAATCGTGCTCTTAATAACACCTCACAAGTGCAAACTTGGCTGAATTTGTACAAATTGTATACCTATGTACGTTAAGCCATATTGCAATAAATGCAGCAGGTAAAATGAAATAACAATAGCATGACCTGTGTAATCCCAATTCTTATGTTTGTAGCTCCAAAGCTGTTAATAATATGTAAAGTTAATTCTTGTCTGAACCTCATTTAAATAAAGCTAGCTTTATCACAATGTAAATTGTCTGTTGGTAGTAATTGGACAGGCAAGTGCTTAAACTTGCTCGTTTTCTCCATTAATCCAGGGCCTAGGTAAGCAATGCAACAAACATAACTGTAAAACAAGTACAAAAGCTTCTTGTAACTGACAGCTAAAAAATATCGTGCCTGAAGCCACGCTGATGGTGCAAGGAGCATGGCTCCACCTAACGATACTACTTTGTTCCGGTGTATTGCTTTGGCCTCTGAAACTCTCATTTGAGACTGTGACTTCCGGCTTGTGCTTAAAAGCTTGAAGCTTTCTCAAATCCAATGTATTGGGTTATCAAATCCGATTTTTGTTTTTAAGGTAGATTTTCATTAATTAAATAAAGTACAACTAAAATTTGTTCTAATGTGTGTATGTGTTGTTGTTCTTTTTTTCAGCTTAATCTGTTGTTGCTTTATCTTCAACGAGTTCTATTTGCTCCTGACAGCGTATTTGTTGTTGATTGACATTCAGCTTTTGATGTGAATTAAAGGAGCTCATTGCAGAACTGAACTGTTACTTGGGTGTAAGTTTCTCTAAAACGTGCCTGGTAAGATAGTTCAGAAAACTGAAGAAAAAAGCTCTGTTAAATTCAGAATAGGTGACAGTTTTCAGTAAGCTAGGAAGAAAAGTTAGTGAATCATACCACACTTGAACTCATTTTGTGCAAATTGTGTGTTTGTGTTCTTGTCTCAGCTATGAAGCTAAGATGCTAAATCCATTACCAGTAAATACCTGCACCGGTCACAGGAAATGCAGGTGCTGAAGCATTCAGTGCAGGATGCTGTTTCCTCCTTCCTTTCATATTACACCTGTGGGCTCATATTGCAGGTGCCTAATGACTGCCCAGCTCAGCAGCATCAGCAAAAACAGACCAAAGCAACAACTCCCACCAGACTGTGCCTGAGGTGCACAGCTGTAGTCCTCTGCCTGTCCTTGTGCAAAGTTTATGTACTTATGCTATCCTGTTACTCGTTAATATGAGGTCTCCAAACGGCCATTAGCGTAGGGACTGGAGACTATGTAACCTGAAGCACAAGAGCCTGTTTTGTTGGAATAGCTTGAGTATCCTGGCTATTAGCTCAGGCTATAGAGTGGATCTGGATGTCCTGTTTGGATCGGCACATGTGTGAAACAGCTGTGTGCACAGAGGGACCTGCATAGCCTGGCTGCAGCAAGTGCCTGGGGATGAGCAGGCAGCCTGCCAGAAACGGGATGCCTGAGATGGTCTTGTCTGCATGCCCCACACTGGAGCTTTGTTGTTCACAATACCGCCAGGAGCTGGTGCCCTTCAAGGAAGGGCATGGCTTGGGATGGAGAGGAGAAGCCCGGTGGGACAGTCAGCATTGAGGCTTTGAGTCCTAGCCTTGGGGAGATGGATGAGATATGTGAACACTTCCACAATGCTAACAGGATAGAAGTTTGACCATCACCATATTTGTATCTAACGTGGGACCGATGACACTTTTAGTTGGATGCTAAATTTAGTCTTTACCGAAGTGAGAATGAAAGATAACATGTGAAAACCCATGTCTGTTCTGCTCCAAAATTCTCTTGGAAAATTTTTAAAATAGGATGAACTGTTTTATGAAGTTTCTCCAGTTCCTTCTGTGGGCCCTGGGTCCTGCATTGGTACAGTCCCTGCCCTGCATGAGCTGTCTCTGCCCAACAAGTGGTGCTGCACTGATTTCTAAACTCATTTCCAGGAGATCTTCAGCAGATAGTTTGGGGTGAGAGGGGTTGCTGCCTGCCGTTTCCTGTAGAAATGGCTGTACAAACTGAGAAACTGACACACACCTGCCTGTACTGACATGTCCCTCTTATTGGTGGTAGCCTTGAAGGCTACACACTGTTTTTTGTTGATCTCCCAGACAGTGTTTTCATATTATTTTATGAGAAAGACCAAGAATTATGAAGACAAATGTAACCTGCTCAGTACTCTGGTTGTGATATGAACTCTTTAAACAGCGCTATTTGCTGAGCAATCTTGAAGATCGCATTATTCTCTTTGGCATAAGAGTCTCCCTGCTGGGAAAATACTTTTATTGGATTTTTGCATAATCTGTCTTGATCCTGCAATTGGATTTAGGCTTGCACATTCTCTCTGCTCCCCACGGAGGAGACAGTTAACGCCTCACAGATGAGGGGAGGAACCTGCATCTCTGTCAGTGGCAGCTGTGGCAATAGCTGGGCACGTTGCCTGCCATTCTTTCTAGAAAGGTATAGCTCATCCAAAATAAAACAAACCAAACCTTTAAGCCTGTATTCACATGGACTGGTGGATGCAGGCTTATATTTGCTATGGCAGCATATTGACTAGGTTGAGATTATTGTTCTGTTTTCTGTCATTCATAACTGGTAGCTGCTTGTGGTAAGAAGAGACAGAGTGCTTCTTTCTGTGTATTATTTCTGAACATCTCATAAGGCCTGGACTTTCCTGTCAACTATTTTTGATCGTGGCTAACATACAGGGGTAAAGCAGTGACGTGCTTTGGCAAGCCAGCCCATTACATTTCTATGGAGTACTATAGAAATAAGGGACTTTGGCACACCTCTGAAAAACCATTTAACTTCTTGGATTTTGAGTTGTGAGCTATGCAGTATGTTGATTAATTGTCCCCACTGAGGAGTGAAGTACTACCAGCAGGGAAGTGGCAGTGGGTTTTAGGTCTGCCAAATAAGACTTAACCTCACCAGATAAAGGCTTTATGAACACAGTGGCATTTCTGTGATGAAACCTTCCTAAAGAATATGTCTGTACACGTACACGTGTATAACACCATTAAAAACAAAAAGAATCCGTTCATATCCTTAAAGCAATACTTTGCAACAAATCAGAACTGCCGTGCAGCTAGTGCTTTCCCTTTCTGCAGGAAAAGGTAGGAGTGGCAGCTTTTAACATCTGATAAAAACAAGAAGTACAAAAGTATCTGGACAACTAATTATGGTCTGTTAAGGTCTATTAAGTGTAAAGTTCAGCGGAGCTCCGTTCTTCCCCTCACTGCTATTTTCTTGTGTAATGGAGACATCGGAACTGGCTAATGGGTCTCATACTCTGGGTAAAGGACACAGACCAACGTTTGGGAGGCCACATGTGAATTTTAAGTAAGTTAGACTGAAATATTAATGATTCTCCAGTTTAGAAGAGCTTAAAATAGACTGTCAGATAAGGAGCGCTGAGGTTTGCCTGTCTTAATGTTTCAGTGAGAAATCACTGATGCTACTTGATTCTGTTGTGAGTCCAAAACGTAACCAAATCGTGGGAACAGAGAGTTGAAAGAAGACAGCCTTATTTGTAGGCAGAAGGAAATGCAGTAGAGGGAGTAGCAGCGATCACGGTTTTTGCCCCTAGCTTGGGAAGGAGGTGCTCCGTGCTGGAGGAGGGACACTTGAAAAGTAACTACCCTACCAGACTGCCTGTCAGGAATTTGGTAGCTTACATGGGTGGAAGGGAATACTATGTTAATTCATGTAAGAAAATCCACCGAGGGATTTCAAATATGCAGAAACCACACCTAAGGCAGGAAATCCCAAAACTGAGGCCGGGAAAACAAACATAAATATACAGGGAAGTACCACATATGCTTGTCCCACGCTTACACCCTGCTTCAAGTACCCACTTACAGCCACCATTTAAGGCAGGATTTAACAACACAGCAGTGTTTTATAGTGTGCTATTATGGTGCTCTCACCTGCTGGAGTCCTTTGGTACCAATGTATGCCTGAATTTAGTGTAAAGGTGGGAGGGAACGGGTTGTTCTTCCAATTTTATGCTGTCGGATTGAGGTTGGCTGGCATGTTTCTCCTCCCATCCTTTCCTCTGTTTTCTAGGTTTATTAAACAATTTTTACTCAGGGAAAGCTAGAAATTGGAAGAGCACAGATCATGACATCTGCTCCTCCCATACCCAGAGAAGCTGGCAATGTAACATTTCTGCATCCAGCAGGAGCCCTCTTTGACCCTTCACACTCTCCAAGACCACCATGTCAGGGAAATAGAGGACTCTTATGCTCAGACAGAGCTGAAAGAGAACAAGCTCTTTCATGGCTGTGTGATTCAGGGTGACTAAGATACAGTGTGCAATATACATGGTATACAAGTAAACACAAGTTATTCAACAGAGCTCAGGGGATAAGGTATTTTATGCCAGCTGTTTTCAAGAAACATTACACTGCCTCTATAGTAACACCACTGACACCAGGAGCACCTGTCTCCTCCATTACCTTGGATCCCTGGTGCCATGGGTGCTGACAGTAGCATCCTCTGTCATGCAGAGATTTGGAACCCCCAGTTCACACTTCTCCATTTGTTAGCTACACCTAATTAAACCAGGTGTTGAGAAGAATCCAAGAAGAAAGGTGTGAGTTCCTTTCATTTACTTTTAACCAGATCTGTGGGCATCTGTTGGGTTGTGGAATTAGAGGCAGCTCCTAATCATCATAAACATACACATACACAGAAATGGAGGGAATCAGAGAAATAACAATAGGTGGGGAACCTTGGTAACTTCATTGGTGGTAACCTAATTGTTGAAAACCTAATTACAGCACGCTAAATTGGCTGTTTCCTGAGACCATTCAAGGATGTGAGACCTATCAGGATGAGTCAGCAGGGAAACTCCCCAGAAAACTTTGCCCATTAAAAGGGCTGGCTGCCTTCAGGGTACAGGGCTCTGGATGGAAGGGGATCAGCAAGAATGTTTTGGGATTGTGTAGGAACTGATTATGAGGTTTTTGAAGAGGAGTGTGGCAACGTGTTATGGATTGTTAGGGGGTGTGTAGTGGAATGACTGTTAATAGAGGAAGAAATTAATCAGGGTGGATTTGAATGGGACCATTGTAGGAAGGAGTATAGACATAGAAGGCTGGTTGAAGACATAGAAGGCTGACATAGAAGGTCAGCAACTTGTCTGACTGAGCTGTGCTTGATCACCACAGCTGATCCTTGTTCTGTTTAAATCTGATTTCTGACCACCTTCAGTGCGCCTGGCTCTCTGTTTCACAGTTGTAGGTGTGTCAGCAGCTGGGAGCTCTAGGGGTTTCTGTGTGCTGGTGCTAGGATAGGGGCCCAGGGTGCTGCTGGACAGACTGGGGCTCTGGTGCCAACAGTGGGTGTGATTTGTATGGAGTGGGGCTGTATTGCACCAGCGGGGGGGAGGAGTAGGATCAGGCCACCTGGGCTGTTCATCTGAGTGCATGCAGGTGGGTGCTGGCTGGTAAAGACAGCAGTTTACACTGTCTGTGTTAACTTCTGTGCCTGGACATCTCCGTACTTGTAAGAGTGCATATGCCTACCCCCACTAGCAGGATGTGCTCAGGCTGTCTCCTCTGTGGCTGTGGTGCTGCGGTCCATCTGTTGCAGGGATGG